TGTGTTAAACTGGTTAACAAGAGTCATGCTTGTTATGGGCATCTTCAAAAGAGTTTTTAGTTTCAATTGGCATATGGGTGGTACAGAGATAAGATGATAATGTGGCATCTCAATCTCACATCTAGATATTATTTATTATGATATATAAGATGAGATTTAAATTTAATACTTATGAAAAATATTTTATAAGATAAAATCGTAAGATCTTCGAATTAAAACATATAATACATAGGTTCTTCACAAATGATATCATAATAATTTTTAATTGGATGAAAGTTAAATGTTACATTGTAAGAGCTACTTTTAGAATCTTGAGAGAATTAAGTACTATATCGTATGAATTACTTCTATAATCCCAATTGATTTTGGTTTAGTGGTTCTATGTATGCACTATAATCCCAATGTTTGGTGTGTGATATTGATTATGTGATTATGTGTTTTTTGTATTAGGTTTGATAGAAACGTTAAATTTTAATTAGAGAATTTGTGATACTTTAATTTTATATTAGGATATTTTGATGATCTGTAATGATATATAAATTGAGCTTTAAAACTAATACTTATGAAACATTTTTTGTGAGATAAAATTATGAGACTTTTGAATTAAAACGAATAATATTTCATAAGTTTGGATGTGAGTTTTCACATGGTCAAAATTATTTGCTGTGGAGGTTTTTAGATACTTTTAAATTTGTCTTATATAATAATAATAATAATAATAATATTGAAAATTCAGATATAAGAAAATTACAGTAGTACAATATCTTAATTTTTTTGGTTCAAAGCTTAAGATTTAGAACAGTTGAAAGAAAATAACAAAGTTATCTTGAGCAAATATCACCAAATCTTTGCTGGATTGGACAAAGTATTATGATTTTTTATAACAAAAAATAACCAAAAAACAGAATGTTAAATATTCCTATTTCTCTCTCTTTTGCTCTTTATGTGGAACTCTTGCTCTATTTTTCTCTTCGGTACCCAAACCATTGCTGCCTAAGCCTTTATACAAGCTTCAATCTTGCTCCTCTAGCATTTCTTTATTTTTCTTTCTTAACTTTCACTGCAAAAAAAAAAAAAAAAATTTAAAACTCCTTTCGATGCCACTTTATTGGATGGCCATTGAACTTTTTTTCTTTGGCTTTAGAGAAAGCTGGAATGACCAATGGCCATTAGTTAAAGAATGGGACTGGTCCTCATATGTCCACTAACAACGATTATAGTTGTAGTGTGATCTAAAATAACAGCCAAGTTCGGTAAGTAATCTTAAACAAACAAAAAAAAGAGATCTGAGTCCTGACGGCACTTCTTGCAACTATTAATGGATCCAAGTATGCAAAAGCACGAGGAAAGTTGACAATTCTTTAAGGAAAGCATAGAGTGAAAGAGAGAGACTCAGAGTGTTATTTTGTTGCCAGCTTGCCATGCCTTATTTGGAGAGTAACGATCTCACTGGAACTAGAAAAGAGTCATTGGTGTGAGGCCAATTTTGGTTGTCACTAAAAAAGCACCTTCTTTTGTAGGATTCTGAAGTTTGACAAGCTATATCTCTTTGCAGGAACTGAGAAGCGTAAAGTGCTGATAGCTTTTAGTATTGTCTCAGTGGAATGGCTTCTAATACTACATTTGGACAGATATGTCCATCGCCAATGAAGGCTACATCAAATGGCCTCTTCCAGGGTGATAACCCACTTGATTTTGCGCTTCCTCTTGCCATTCTGCAAATATGTCTGGTAGTTGTACTCACAAGGGCCCTTGCTTGTCTTTTAAGGCCATTAAGGCAGCCTCGTGTGATTGCAGAGATCATTGTGAGTTCCTTTCTAGGTTCAAACTTCTGCACATCATCTATTAATTTCCCATCTTAGTGTTGTTTATGTATAGTTATTAGCATACCTGATGTCAAACTATGGAGAAAAGTTTATGGTTCCTAACTTCAATGGTTGTTACATCTGGAATTTGAAAACACTTCCAAGTCTTAGATGTTTATAGTACAAAATTAGAATAGATTCTGGAAGTAACACAATATTCTATTGAAAGTCCATACTTTGTTGTAGGTTGTCTAAGCCATTTGACATGAGGCCCCGGTGCTTTAATTGTTCTGTCTGACCCTCCTTGTGCACTTTTAGTTATGATCTACTTGTCAAGTATAAGATGGTCAATCAGCTTACAAACTTACACCATCGACTAAACAAAGTCTAAAGCTGCTATATACATGTCATGATTAGGAACCAGTTGGTGCGAAAAAGTCTTTTTTTTTTTTTTAATTTCCCTGTGGATGTGCATCTATTAGATAAACATGTTTCTATTAATTAGACCTTATAATTAATTTGATAATAAGATCATTTAATTTTTGCTGCTCATTTACCAGGGAGGAGTTTTACTTGGGCCATCTGTTCTTGGAAGAAGCAAGAGCTACTTGCAAGCTATATTTCCTCCCAAGAGTCTCACTGTATTAGATACCCTAGCAAACATTGGTCTCATTTTCTTTTTATTCCTTGCTGGGCTAGAGATAGATCCTAAAGCCCTCCGACAAACTGAAAAACAGCGTTTGCAATTCCTGTTGCTGGACTAGGGTTTCCTTTTGCATTAGGAATTGGTTCTTCATTTTTGCTCCGAGCAACTACATCAAAAAGTGCAAATGCTTCTGCTTTTCTTGTGTTCATGGGCATTGCTCTTTCTATTACTGCCTTTTCTGTCTTAGCTCGCATTCTGGCGGAGTTGAAGCTCTTAACCACAGATGTTGGAAGGATGGCTATGTCAGCTGCAGCTGTTAATGATGTAGCTGAATGGATTCTACTTGCTCTTGCTGTTGCCCTATCTCGATCTAACAGTTCTGTTGTATCACTGTGGGTTTTCTTGTCTGGATGTGTTTTTGTCATTTGTTTGATTCTCATTGTACCCCCAATATTCAAATGGATGGCTCGTCGATGCCATGATGGTGAGCCATTGGAAGAGATAAACATATGTGCTACATTAGCTGCTGTTCTGGCTGCTGGGATTGTAACTGATGCTATTGAGACTCAGGCCATGTTTGGTGCTTTTGTGGTTGGAGTTGTTTTCCCAAAGGAAGGGCCATTTGCCCATGCTCTTGTGGAAAAAGTTGAGGATCATGTATCTGGTTTGTTCTTGCCATTATACTTTGTGTCAAGTGGACTGAAGACAAACGTTGCACAATTCAAGGGCTCCAATCCTGGGGTCTTCTGGCTTTAGTGATTTTTACAGCATGTTTTGGGAATATTTTTGGGACCGTTGGGATGTCCCTTTCATGCAGAGTGCCTCTTTGTGAAGCTCTTGCGCTCGGGTTCCTTATGAACACTAAAGGGCTGGTGGAACTCATTGTTCTCAACATTGGGAAGGATAGAAAGGTAAATTGAGTTTTCTTCCACTAATGACTAGGGTCATTGCCTTGTTCATTTATGGTTTTTTAGAATAAATGATTCATTGTGGCTGTTTGCACTTTCAGGTTCTGAATAATCAAACATTCGCTATTATGTTCTAATGACTCTCTTCGCTACTTTCAGTACCACACCAGTTGTTATGGCATTATATAAGCCTGCAAGGAGATAAATGGACTACAAGTATAGGACCATTGAAAGAAAAAATCCAGATACTCAGCTTAGAATATTGGCCTGTTTCCACAGTGCAAGAAATATCCCATCAATAATAAATCTCCTTGAGGCTTCACGAGGAATGGAGAAGCGTGAAGGACTTTCTGTGTATGCTCTGCACCCTATGGAGCTGTCCAAGAGGTCATCAGCAATATTAATGGTACGCAAGGCAAGGAAAAATGGTCTTCCCTTCTGGAATAAGGGTCAGCGTTCAGATTCTGACCATGTCGTTGTGGCATTTGAGGCTTTCCAACAACTGAGTCAAGTAACTTTCCGGACAATGACTTCAATCTCTTCGGTGGCTGACATGCATGAGAACATCTGTACCACTGCTGAGAGCAAGAGAGCTGCAATCATAATTCTTCCATTCCATAAGCAACAGAGAATGGATGGTTCTTTGGAGAATACAAGGACAGAATTCCGCTTGGTGAATCGGAGGTTTCTCGAACATGCACCTTGTTCTGTCGGAATTCTAATCGATCGTGGGCTTGGTGGAACCACCCTTGTATCTGCAAGCAATGTTTCCTATCTGATAACAGTTCTTTTCTTTGGGGGCCATTATGATCGTGAAGCCCTTGCTTACGGGGCTCGAATGGCTGAGCACCCTGGTATCAGTTTAAACATCATTCGCTTTGTAGTGGAATCTGAGACTATTAGAGAAATTGCTACGATTGATGTGCAAGAGAATTCCAGCCCCAAAACAATATCATTGGATAAAGAATTTCTTTCTGAGTTTAAGAAGATACCAAAGGATGTCTCTGTTAGATATGAAGAAAAAGCTGTCCCAAAAGCCACAGAAACCATTGCTGCAATTCGTGGGACAGGCTGCTGTAATCTTTATCTTGTGGGGATGGTGAAATGGCCTTAGCTTTCAGGAGGAGAACTGACAGCCCAGAACTGGGGCCTGTTGGTAGTTTACTGATTTCTCCTGATTTTTCAGCAACAGCATCAGTCTTAGTTATTCGACAGTACCATGGCAGTGTATCTCTGATTGCGTTTCCAGACATGGAGGAAGAATCACCCGAGGAAGACTCAGAATCCAACTAAATTTTTCTCTGTGAAGATTTATCCTGATGTGTACATAATGTAGATGAATTTTCAGTAGTACCTTCAATTTCATGATATGAAAAAAGCAAAAAAAAAAGGTTAAACCGGCACTAGGAATTTTTCTTTGTCCTTCGCTAAATAAATGGAGCTTTTGTTCCGAAGAGAAGGAAAAAGGTTACCTGCAAAAAAAAAAAAAAAAGGGCGAATCCTTGATAATGATTTTTTTTACTATTTTAAATCTCCATGGAAAAAAAAAAAAGGTCAAAAAAATATCTTGTTTTAGGCGACGTGTCATTTTTTTATTCGGGGGCGAAACTTAAAGATCTTAACCGAGTCGCACTGAATAACTCTAATCAGATAACACCAGTTAGAGTGAGTGAGAGGACCGAAAGCCATACCCGCTTTTAAAGCGAGCTAGGGTTTGAGATTATGGCTTCACTTTGCTCCAATCTTCACCCTCTATCCTCCTTTTTGGTTCCCCCCGGCCAAAATACTGTTTCCAGTTGCTTTTTGATCAAGTAAGCCTTCATCTTTATTTAAATTATTCTAAAATTATATGCTCTTGTTTCAATTTTTAGTTCTTTTCATTCACTGTTAAAAATCAATTTTTTATTCTCTTTATTTTGTATATATTACTTCTGGGTTCATAAGTATATACGGGTTTGATTTAGTTTTGAACTTGGTTGGCGGTATTTGTGTCTTACTCTTCCAATTTTGTTGTTAATTGGTAATTTTATCTAATAATTGAGTGTTAATGAGTGAAAATATAGGTTTTTTAATCCAAGCCCAGGTGGAATCTAATGGTTTTTAAGCTTTTTTGTCAGATGATTGATCAAACTGATACCTAAGATAACCTTTTTATCATCGAGGATGACGCAATTTGTAAAATTTGAATCTGGAAATACTGTTTGGAAACAATAAAAAACGAACACCTTAAATCTCATCCTTTGTTTTCAGTAGCTGGGTAAAATTCAATCCGAGAAAGGTGTCAACAACAGGAACAATAACTTGCAAGAAAGCGAGCTCAAGGGGCCCTGACAGTGACAGGGTAGTCAAAAGTAAGTTTGAGAAAACTGTGGCGAAGAAGGGAGACAAAAAATTTGTTCATGAAGGTTTAATTACCGAATCACTTTCTAATGGTATGTTTCGAGTTCTTTTAGACAATCAAGATTTAATTCTCGGTTATCTTTCTGGAAAGATTCGAAAGAATTTTGTACGTGTATTGCCTGGAGACAGAGTTAGAGTTGAATTGAGTCCATATGATTCAACCAAGGGACGTATAGTTTTCAGGCTTCGTAACAAGGATGCAAGCGGATAGCTGGGTAGATTTCCAAGAATTTATGCACTTGCAATTAGTTGCTAGGAATTGAGGTGAGGAACCTCCAACTATGAAAACATGGCTATGTAGAGTATTAGAGAAAAATGCAATCCAATATCCTTCAAGTCAGAAGCACCTCGAGCTATTGATAAATCAGTTCATCATGCAAAACTTCAAACCTGATGATGATTAGAGAAAAAAAAATATTGCAATTAGTTTAGCTGGCAAGTTTCTTGGTGACATGGCATAGATTTGGACGAGTCTTGCCTTCTCTAGGAGCTTGGCTAGATAGGTAAGAATTAATCTTGTTGTGTAGCCTTACTTTTGAATGAAGTTTTATGATCATTATCGACCTTTCTTTGAATAGTTTCTATGAATTGTTTTTTTGTATGAATTGATATTTTTTTAATGGGCAAGTTTTCATGTACAAGCTTTGAATAGTCTTGATTGTTGAGTTGCCCTTGGAATTACATGATGCACGAGAATGTTAAGGAAGTAACATCAAATTGGGAGAACTAAGTATTCCAAACACAAGACACCAATGCTAAACCACCTTCCTAGTTCGTCATCCAAAACTTGAAAAAGACACCATTAACAATTTGCAGCTAATTTCTTGTGTTTCATATCAAGCCATTCTCTACTTGTCTACCACAAGGACATGAGACTTCAGAGGAATTCCATGGTGTATGTCATCTTAATTTCTTAGTTCTAAACCAAAAGATTAGATGGCAATGCATTGCAATCATAATATAGAGAAATTTAGTCCTAATCAAGTGTACAATTTGCTCAAATATGTGCCTTGAATTTACTTTTCTGCTTGTTGCCTTTCTATTTGTATCATGATATCACTATTGAAGATTGACTATATAAATCTGTCGCCCTTCATATGTAAATTCCATCAGAGTAACCCATTTAGTATTGTTGCTTCTTGCTATTATCTTTTGATTTTGACTTGAGAAAATTGGGATCCCGTCAGAAGTTTTTGGTTACAATATTTTCTTTTTTGTTTGACAATAATCAATACAAGTGGAGATTATGCTACAAAGGGAGTGAAATATAATAGTTCTCAATTTTTTTTAGATTTCCGTTCAAAATTCCATGTATAATATATTTTTTTTGGCCAAATTTCATGTATAATATTTTAATGGTGCAACTATAGTGAGTATAGGAGGTAGCAGAAACAAGCTTATAGCAGAAAAGTCTAAATGGAGGATTGATAGCATCATTTTTGCATAGATGGTACAAGATGCTGTGTCACTTGGAATATGAGATTGAAATTATAGTTCTTTAACCAACTACTTTCGTGCAAAATCCATCTAGCAGGCTCTATATAAAGGCAAAGCCAGAGGGAAAGAAAACCTCACAATTGCTAGCAGAACTATAATTTATTTCTTCTGTGATCAGATATAGAAGTAATGGCGTCAAAAAGTTGCAATTTCTTCTGTATTTCATGCTTCTTCTTGTATCCTCGGCCGATCCATTCAAGAATAAGCAATATGAACCCCGCAAACACGTGGTTTTCTACTGGCATGACATTATTTACAATGGCCAAAACAAGGAGAATGGCACATCCGCCATTGTCGGAGCTCCACATGGAGCTAACCTGATCATCTTGGGAGATCAGTTCCCTGTCGGCAACATAGCAGTTTTTGATGATCCCATTGCCCTGGATACCAACCTTATTTCATAGCCTGTTGGCAGGGCTCCAGGCATGTATCTTTATGATATCAAAAACACCTACACCGCCTGGCAAGGCTTTTCATTTGTTCTTAACAGCACAGACTACCAGGGCATTAATAAATTTCATTGGAGCTGATCCCCTGATGCACAAGACCAGAGACATTTCTGTGGCGGGTGGCACCAGAGACTTTCATGCACATGGGAATTGCAACTTTGACGACTGATTCATTTGAAGCTGCCGTGTATTTCAGGCACAAAACTGACATCCAAGTTCTATGAATGCTGCTGAAGAAAGAAAAACTTTACAATCAAAATTTGGATAATATAATGCATCCAAAAATTTTGGGATAATATATAGTTGAGTGAAGAGGGGTTGTGCTTGTTTTATAGTGTGTCACAGGGCATATGTAGGCTGAAATGCATCCGAAACATGTATACCACCCGGCAAGCGTAATACTGGTATGATTCTTGTAGTGTGCATATTTGCAATCTCTAATGCCATTGGCTGAAACTTTCAGATATGAACACCAAGTTTAGTGCTGTAACTTGTAACCCTGACAAGACCATACCCAAAAAGCACGCCGAAGTTTTGTGGCTCAGTGACACTAGTAACGTTCCTCCCTTTGATTGGCTTGGAAAATGTTTTGGAATCCCCGGTACCTTTCAAAGGAGATAAGAATATAATCACTCATTTTTTCAAGTTATTAAGATTTGAATTCGGATTATTAAAATTAAAAATCTAACACTACTGGCATATAATCACTGATCTGCCCGGAAAAGAGATGTCTTGAGAGGACTGCTACTCTTGACTTTGCGCTCTGCCACTTGGTTGAGTTCAACGTGACAGTGCCAGACAAGGAAATTCTGTTTCCCAGATTTCAGATTCCTAGTTTATGACTACGTTTTCCCTGAGGGTATTGTTCTAGCTTTATTTCTAGAAAATCTTAAGCATAAAAATTGAATCTTCCTTATAATTAAGACCATAGTGGAAAGTTCAATGCTTCAAGATATTCCACATGGACTTAGAACAATATTCGTCGTGTTTAGAGTGACTTCAAACGTTCCTTGTCTCATTCCTTTCCTCACCAAGCCTAATAATTGGCAAATTGTTCCAAATTATTGTCCCGTGGGCATGATAAATGTCTGCAAGGATCTAGTCAATGATGATCTTATCTTTTGGCGGAATATTTTTGGAGTGGCAATGAAAGTTTGGTTTGAGCAAGTTATACCATTGATCTAGCCGACCGATTTATTCTCTGGTATAAATCGTCCAGTCCAAGAACATAAAGTCAGCATCATCATGGTATTTGTACCTTTAAAAGATGCATTGGATGGACCAACATGTTCAGGCCACCACTTACTGTTATCCCATATGACTAAACCTCAGTTTGGAATATCTAGACTGTGGGGCTTCAGGGATTGTGTGCCATTGGGACACCTTCTTCCTTGTCAATGCAACTGAGTCTTCTTTTTGATTCTTGTGCAGGCCATTGCCTGTCTCTGTGGTACTCTCTTTCTCGTCTTTGCTGCTGTAACATTGATTGAGAATGGATTTATCATGTGGATTTGTTACATACTGAATCAAACCATGAGCTGAAACATTTCTTGTTGCTTAAGATCTGTAATTGGTGGCAGATATGACAAAATCAGAGGACTTTAAAGACCAAGCAGGGCAAGTTGGCTTGACCTTTTTTTGTGTATATATGTGCGAATTCATCACTTTCTTTAACTCTTCAGGGGTAGGGTAACAACGTGAACACACACACATACAGACGTGGCAGACCCATGCCCATCCATGAAACCTTTTAACAGAGAATCAAAAAGTCAGCCTCAAAAAGATGATATTTTGAAGGTGGACAAACCCCACTTCTGGCCTCTTCCTTTCCCAACTTTCTCCATTAACCTGTCATTTTCCACTTCCTGCTGCGTACTTTTGCCTAACCTGGCTGATTCCACTCCACTTTCTTCCTATCTTACCTTTCTGCCAATATTAAACTTCATTAATATTAGAAGAATTATCAGTTAATTTTGTTTTATTATGAAATTTGTTGATATAAAATATATCATTAGCATCTTGAACACATATCTGACTTAGGCTAAATTTGAATTTCATCGCATTTCACAACGATGCAATTAAATTTATAATATCATAAATTAAATTTAAATATCAATTTCAATAAGATTCATTTAATATAAATTTTTTATTTAATTTTTTTCAATTACAATTATAATAATTTTTTAAATTATAACTATAATAATAATTATTATTATTTTTAATTTCATTAACTAATATCATCCTATATCCAAACAAAGCCTTACATATTATTTTTTCTTTTTGACAATGTCAACTCATTATCACTTGCAAGCTTTCTCCCATTTTTTTTCCATGAATTCCAACAAAATCTCAACTAGATTTAAACTTATTCTTTAAATTGATATTAATTATTAAATCAAATGTTGAAAAAATAAAATTTCATATAACTTGTGTAAAAAAAATAATCATAAAAGAAGAAGCAAAGAACAATTGAAGTTACTGTACGACCTGCAGGAGGTGCTGAATGTTAAACGAAGAAGGAAGGATTTAAAAGGTCGGAGAGAAGATCTTGTGGGACCCTTTTGTGGCAGATGATGTACAGACAAGAAGCTTTTTCATGTGACGCAGACAACGATGCAATCTTAAACGATAAAGTTAAAAAATAATGATAATAAATGATGATTCTAACAATTTACTTTTGATTGAGTTTGGTACGTAGTGTGCCATCATCGTCGCAAGTGTACAAGACCGAATAATAAACCGCATATTCTAAATTGAAATTAAAGCAATAGGAAAACCCAAATTGGTGGTTGGCTTTTGGTTGTCCTCCCATTTAACATTTTCCTAAGATTGATCCAAAATAATAATAGTAATTGGAAAGTAATTACTGTATTAAATTAATTGGATGGTCCAAAATTCACCGAGAGTGGGTAGGTATTATATTAGAAAATATAAATTATTCTCCTAATAAGACTAAGGTTACCTAAAGAAAATAAGATCAAGACTTTGGTTTAATTAATTTTTTATTAAAAAATTCACAGTATAAAAATAAAAAAATTATAATTATTAAATTTTAAATTTTATATATGCTAAATATTTTTTTTAATATTAATAATATAAATTAATTAAATTAAATTTCGAATTCACTTTTATCAATATTTTATACACAATACAATAGTATGATATTGTGTTTCGAAATCACAAATGTAATGTAATGTTACCATTTTTAAATCAAATTCTAATTTCAAATAGAAAATTTTTTGTCTAAATAAAAGTCAAAATTGATTCTAACTGCATTTTGTTCAATTCAATCACTCAAATTATTAATTATTTTTTAAGTAAATTTATTTGTTATAAATGTAGTATAGAATTTGAAAAAAAAAATGATTGAATTATTCAAGTAAGAAAATTTAAATGTACTTTAAATTTTATATCATTATTTTTTGTTTTGTAATTTTTACATTTAGATTACTTAACACATCCAACAAATCTAATGTTAATATCTGATTTTTTGTTTTTTTTTTTTACCTTGATTGCTTTTATTATTTCCATGCATACAAAAATAGCCATTGTAGTTGATGTCACTTTTGACTGTGATTTCCTTACCAAAAAATGTAGGTGATGGAATTTTTTTTAGCGTAAGGGACCTTCCTTAGAGATGAAGATCGGACGGTAAACAGTGAAGGATAGGTCTCTACGTGTCAAAATTCTGATTGGTTTGAGAGATTAAAAGATAATGGAATTGATTCTTTGACTCGTTTTTGGTTCTTACGAGATTTGACGTTTCATCACTTCTCTCTTGTACGAGCACCACTCTTTTCGTTGAACGCTTCATCTTGGTCCGATTCATAGAATACATTTTTATATAATGAGAAAATTTTAATTAAAATTTTTAATTTATATATTTTTTCATATTAAATGTATGCAAAGCACTGTATGACTATATAATTTTTTTTATTTTGTTAAATTAATACATAATTTTTATTAAAGAGATATAAATTTACCATCATATATTTGTTAGTGATTCAAATTTATCATTAATCGAATAGTTTTATGATGATTTTTTTTTGGTTTTGGAGTAAATTTATTATTATACTTTAAATTTTGGAACAATTAAAAAATGTTTATTAGAAAATTGTTAGAACACTGTTTTATTGTTCAAAAAATAATTTTGAAAATGATAAAACAGGTAAAAAAATTATGAAGCTAAATTCCAAAATATTTTTATTTTATTTTTTATCATAGTATTTTTATTAATATAATGTCACATAGTTAAAATTTTTACTTTTATTTTATTTTATTTCATTGTAACATTTTTTACTACTTATAAAAGCATATCATATATTTTTAATTGTTATTGACCTCTTTCATGTCATATTTTTTAATTTTTTTGAATTATAAAACAAATTTTAACAGAATAAAATTAAAAAAAAATTATAATGATAAAGATTATTATGATAAAATTATACAAATTAAAATATTAATAATAAATATAAATTATTTACATAATAAAATAATAAAATTTTATTTTATCTTATAATTAAACGAACTCAAATCGCGCAAAGGTGCGAGTTGTTGACATAAATATTGGCACACATGGACGTTTAAAATTTAAAATGATAATCTGCGGGAAAAAAACCGCTAACCGCCGCCGTAAGCAAATCCAGCAAGGCGGGTTGTGGGGTCCACAGTCTGTGGAAGGTTGTTTTTAATAGGAGCGTGGGTCCCACTAGAAGCAGCGGGGAAATTCGAATCACAAAGAACGGTGACGAGCCGCTGCCAACAACCAATAAGAAAGCATCCCGCCACGTTGACGTGTTGGAAATTTATTTTTGATTTGTCTGATTTGGTGTGGGAAGGGGGGGAGGGGGCGAGGGGGAGGCGGGATGGACTAGGGGGTGTGCGTTGGCCACTGGGAGATCGATATCGCGTCGCCACGCAAACCTAACCGTGACACCTGACCCGACCTTAGACTTTCAAGTTAAGACAGCAGCCTCCATCTATCCTTTGCTGTCATCACCCATTACGTTAGACTTCAAGACAAAGGAAAGCAGTTTTTGTTCCCATGCAGCCTGTCCTTGTTTTGATTTCGATAGGATAAGGATGAATTTTATTTTATTTTATTTTTTTGGTTTTAACTTTTTGTACTTTTTAATTGGACAAATTAAAAAAAAAAAAAAGAGTTTCCTATTTATTTTCACTATTCATAATTGAATTTTTTCGATTGTTTATCAAATATACTATTAAAAATATGCAATGAGTAAAATATTTTGTGATTGTTCGAACTTAATTTTATTTTAAAAATATTTTACACAAAAACTAAACATAAATACCATTAGAATATATAATTGTAGACGAAAGAGTTACAAATAATATAATATGAGTAAAACCCTACACTTGTCCTCGTTTGAAAAAAATAAAAAAATAAAATTTTATGGGTGAAACTGAAGCATCAGTTTCCTAGTAGCCACATATTTCTTTAAAAATTCATTTTCTTCCTCTCCAACTTAACTATAGTCTACAAAAAGATTGATGTTTTAATTTCAAATTGAAGTTTTAATGGTAAGACATTTTTTTTGGCACCATTAGGAGTTAAATCAAAGGAGTTGTTGACAAAAAATCATGATTAATTATATCTTCCTAAAACCCTAAATGTAGCACGTGCAGCTAAATCATTGACACGTGCCAGCACCATCTGAAATTCCACCCTTTCACGACCTTTTTAGCTACCCTCTCCCTCTGTCTCCCTTTCTCTCTCTAACTCGCTTCATGTTTGTGCCTTCTTTTCTCTCCCCATCTTCGGTACGCCCAAAGCTCTAAAAATCCCTTGCCTTTGTTCTTCCGTACGCTATTTTTTCCGAATAAATTCATTCCAATTTAAAAGGTAATTTTTCAATTTCATTGTTCCTATCAACAATTTTCCTTCTTTTTTTTTTTTTTTTGAATTCGAATGATTAATCTTCTCTAAAATCTCGTCCAGGTTCATAGTAGCTCAGTTTTTTAAGTAACTGTCTTATGAATCAGTTAATATCTGGTTCTGTTTGGCTGCCGAGAAACTCAAAAGCTTGGTGAAAATTTACTGAAAAACAGAGGTTGGTTGCTTTCTTTTCTTTTCTGTTTTGAACGAAGAGGCATGAATTTTTATACAACCTCAATTGAGCTGAATACAACACGTTTCTCTTACTTGAGTTGAAAGTGAAAAGTTTAGCTTCTTTTTTCTTTTCTTTTGGAATCATGAAGGAAGAAATCGGTATAATCTTTCCTTTCCCTTAATTTTCTGCTCTTTTCTCAGCAACCAAACAGGTTTCCTATCCGATATCTGTGTTTATCAGGATTTGTTGTTTTGTTTTTTACCCAATTTATTGATAAATGCAAATCCTTTAAACTCTGCATCTATTTCTTAGAAAATTCCGTTTAGTTTTAAATTATTTACTCAAAAAATATTGAGGTACTTTAAAAAAAAAATCATTTAAATTGAAACTTTTTTCTATTAAGTCATTTTACTATTATGAATCCATTGCCAGCTCTATCATAGATCTCTACTTCATATTGTTCTTTTTTTTTTTTTTCAATTTTTTAATTCCTTTAGTGATTGCTTCAATTATAATTTCTTACTGGCATCTTTTTTTTTTTGTAGGATTTCTGGATAAATACCTTATAAAGTTGGAGCTATCCATAGTGTGTCTTTTCATAATTTAAGTAAGTTTCTTTAAATTATATGTTTTTCTGTTGAGTTGGTATTGGCAAAACACATACTAGCTCAGAGGGAGTTTAAGTAGATCAAAGATGCTATTAAAGTTAGAGACCATATATATATATATATATATATATATTTCCTCACTTTCTCAATAATGAAGCTGTAACACACTAGTTTTTGTTTTGAATGTTATGTTTGATTCATCACCTTGGTTTCGACCCCATTTCTGATGCTATATTTAGCTGTTTATGAAATCGAAGAATAGAAAGGAGAGCTAATTGATTTTCATACTTTGCATTACTTGAATATCCTAGAAGCAGAATAATAAAATGAATTTATTCCTGTCTATGTTAGATCAAATTTGGTTATCTATTTCACGTGCATAGCGTGCTTTAAATTTCTTATATAGTTCTCCTGCATTTGGATATCTAATGTTATTGAAATTTATTTATTTGTGCTATGCTGTCACCATCTCACAAAAACTAACCGGCGCTTAAGAAAATAATAGAACTTTCCCCTTTTCTCCCTCTGTTTATTGGCATTTATTCCACCAAATCTCAAACATGTTATGCCCATTTGTATTAATTTATACTGCTGTGTTCTTTTTGTCTCCTGATAGTGCAGATTGTTCATTCCTTGACAGGGATGCTGTCTGCTTTGGCTGGCTGACTTCTTAATTTGTGTCTGGTGTAATAAGGTTATCTTTCCATCCTGTGACATGTCAGCATATATATGTGCATGTTACTAACATTATGTTTTAGAGCTGTAACCTTTTTAAAAAAATCAGCAGATTTTAGCTTGATAAGAAGCTAATTTTGTTTTCCAATGTTTTAGTTTTCCTTATCTCAAACATGGTTGCAGTCTATTCTATTGAGCTTCAACTTTCTTATTCTTATTTTGTAACAGGATGGTGGAGCACCATGATGTTGTTTTAAACTTGCCTGGTCTCCAGAGATTTATCTTCTTTTGCTACAACTGATTGGCTAAATTTTGGGTTAAATCACTTTTAAGCAAATGGATCGCTGTGACACTTCAGGATTTGTTAGTGGGGGTGGGATTTACTCACTCAACAACATATAACCTTAGTTTTGTGGCTAATTGTCTTTACCCGGAAGTCAGGTTGACTGCTCTATTGCAATTGAGATTTGGTCTGCATATCATTATTTGATTTTGGCTATCGCTAGATGGACACCAGGTTCTCAAACTTGGGTTTTGCTGCTAATTATTCTTTGAATGCATTCAAGACTTTGGGTAGTTCAATGCAAGTTGGAGGAAATGGAGGTTCATTTAGCACAGATACTGTTTTACATCTTGATTCCCCTAGCTCTTCAATTCCTTACATGTTCACATCAAAGGGAATCAAGCAGAAGCGGAGTTTGATGGATGGATCCATCAGGGAGCAAGTTGGGTTGTCATTGTCTCTTGGGCTAGGCCGCTCCTCAAGTTCCTCAGACAGCAAGGGGAGTTCAATAACTGCTTGTGCTACCACATCTTCAGCCAAAGAAGCTGATGAAGAGTCCTCTATGGATATTGAATTGGACTTTACTCTCAACCCCAAGAAATCTGCTATTCCAAATCTGAAAGGACTGGAATTGCAACTAAAAGTGGACTTGGAGTTAAGTCTTTCCACTGGGTCTTCTGAATCCGGTATCACTACTGTCCATCTTATCTCTTCTCCTATTCAGTCAGGTATAGAGCTGCCAATAGCAAATGATGGGGCCCCAAATGCTGATGAAGGATCTACTTCATGTCGTTGGAAACCAGGGATTGTTTTGCCACCATGGCAGAGTTTGCTAGCAAAAGAGACTAGCATCTTCTTCGAGGAGGTTCCAAGAAGCATTGATCTTTCTCCCATTGTTCCAGACCTTTCTTCAAGCATGATTACTACTCCAAAATGCTCAGTCACCTGCACTTCCGGGATAAAACGGCAACAACAGCCACAACACCGCAGCTCTAGTTCAAAGAGATGTCAGGTTGAAGGATGTGGAAAGGGGGCCAGAGGTGCTTCTGGCCGTTGCATATCTCATGGTGGTGGCAGGAGGTGTCAAAAACCTGGTTGCCATAAGGGAGCAGAGGGCCGGACTGTGTATTGCAAGGCCCATGGTGGTGGTCGGCGATGTGAATTTCTTGGTTGCACAAAGAGTGCAGAAGGTCGTACTGATTTCTGTATTGCCCACGGTGGTGGTAGGAGATGTAGTCATGCTGGTTGCACTCGAGCTGCCAGGGGCAAATCTGGACTATGTATACGTCATGGTGGTGGGAAGAGATGCCAAAAGGAAAATTGCACAAGGAGTGCTGAAGGCCTCTCAGGACTCTGCATCTCACATGGAGGTGGGCGTCGATGCCAATTTATAGGATGCACAAAAGGGGCACAAGGGAGCACCATGTTCTGCAAGGCACATGGTGGTGGAAAACGATGCACTTTTCCGGGGTGTACCAAGGGTGCTGAAGGGAGTACGCCTTTCTGTAAGGGTCATGGAGGGGGGAAAAGATGTGCATTTCAAGGTGGTGGGGTTTGTACAAAGAGTGTGCATGGAGGAACCAACTTTTGTGTAGCTCATGGAGGAGGTAAGAGGTGTGCGGTGCCTGAATGCACAAAGAGTGCTAGGGGACGTACTGATTATTGTGTTCGTCATGGTGGAGGCAAGAGATGCAAGTTTGAAGGGTGTGGCAAAAGTGCGCAAGGTAGCACGGATTTTTGCAAGGCGCATGGTGGAGGAAAGAGATGCTCCTGGGGCCATCCTGGGTCAGAATATGGCAACCAACTTTCAGGTCCTTGTAACTCTTTTGCAAGGGTTAAGACAGGTCTCTGTGCACTACACAGCGGCCTGGTTCAGGATCAGAGGGTTCATGGTGGTGCAACACTTGGGCCTATTATCCAAGACCCTAAACTTAGCAAGTCTGGGAAGATAAAAGAGATTGTTACTGCTGAGAACATGAATGTTGACATTATGAAAATGGGCAGTGGCGTAGAAGCTTCGGCAGGCATAATTTATTCTGGTTTGAATCACTATGGAGTTCCTGCTTGTAAATCTGTAGGCAAAGGAGGCTTCTCTACTTTTGCTCCTGAAGGTAGGGTGCATGGAGGGAGTTTGATGGCAATGCTAGCAGGTGGTTCTGGTCTTGGCTCAGGCAACAGTGAGGGTTTGGCTGGTGATCCATCAGAGCCAGGTAAGTCTTTTATGGTGCCCAAGAACTGGATGTAAGTTTATTTCACAACTATTGTCAGATTGGTCTTCGAAGTTGACCTAGTTTCCCTGCTTGTAGATGTCCTTTGGTTCTAGTTTGTTAGTCCTTAAGCGTTTGAAAACTATCCTCAGTCATTAGTCTAGACAGTGAGGACGAAGAGCTTCAGTAGTCGTGTGCCAATTTGGGGGATCGGGTAGGATGCAGCTAGCAATGAATCAGGCCTTTGTTCTTTCTTGTAAATATTTATGTATGTCCAGCAGGTTGTTGTGAATACAGGGTAGTGCCTGTAAGGTCAGTCAGTTTGTCGAATATTATGGTTATAATAAAGGTTTCATTGGGATTGTATTTATCATTAAGCTATTTTGGTTTCACTTACCAATTATGGATTGCTTTCCTGGCAAGACATTTTCAGATAGCATGTAGCTTGTCGTAAACTTCAACTTATGTTTTGAAGAATGATTTATTGCTTGTGTATTGCGAATAAAGTAGGATGGAGCGAATAGCTGTGACAATTAATTTTCTAGTGTGACCACGGGATTCTTTATGCCCCGAAGGGCTTATACGAATTTTGACAGCTGAATGTGGATTTCCCACGCACTGTTGGAGTCATAGCGTTAACATTGATTCCGTTTGCACTGCAGGTCTATCACTTCTCTTCTCCGCCTTTCCCCTTCATTTCTGCTAATAATGGTTTCTGGTTCTCCAAATCTGGTGATCAGTCTCTCCCCTTGTGCAGATTTTTCCCTGTTGAGAATTCTTTCTCTGGTTTCTTCTGGCCATTCTGTTTCAGGAGTTTTTTTAGATCAAACTGCTTATTCGCATTTCTTCAGCCATTCTGTTAAGTCGCTCTTAACCTTTTAACCCTCAATTTTGATCTATCCTATTTTACATCCCTCCACCTTTGCTTGATTCAGAGGTGATTATTCCTATCATGTTCTCTGGGTTCTTTATTTTTATTTTTATTTTTTTCACTCCTTCAAACTAAGCAAAGGATCTAATCATGTGATTGTCTTTTGCATCTCGCAATGGCCCAGCAACCGTGCGATTGGGCCTTCCCTCCACTGGAAGAGAAGGAAAAACTTAATCAACTATCATTTAAGACCAGTCTTGAAAATTGCATGTTGCCCATAGTCTCCAAATCTTCAAGGACTTTGCCCCAAGCATCTCTACAGACTTTTATAAGTGAAAGCTATGTGAAATTTGTTTTGTGGATTCCTTTATACATATATATAAATGAAGTTCTGATGAAAAGGAAAAATTAACTTTATTTTTGGGTTATTTCAATTTACAACATCTAGAATCCCTCTTTACTCTCTCCATCTTGTCCCCGTTTGTAATGGTATATTATTGTATGGACGCATTACAACATAAAGTTTTGTATACATGTGTAGATTCCCCCTCTATAGACCCTCGTGCTTGAACTTTGCCATCTTTGAAAGTTCATCAACTGCTTCTACCAGGTGATCAAGCCTAACTACAAATTCAATGAGCAACGAGCTAAAGGTGGCAAGTGATAATGCTGCAGTGGTCTCGAGAGCTCTCATCTTAGGCAAAAAGTCTGTGCTAAAACCTCCTTCTTCTTCGAAGGCATCCACCTCTCTGGATGGCCAAGAATGCATCCTTCGAGATTGTTTCCTCATCATCTCATGGTATGACTCAGTTTGTGCGGGCGGGAGAGTCCCTGACTGCATGTTTTGTGTTAGTTGATTTGAGCTCTTTCCAAGGCTTGTGCTGTCAATATCATGCAACTGGTCTGGGAGGTCATAAACGATTGATGATAGAGCGTGAGAAAGGTCTGGAAGTGGTTTGGAAGAGTTATCAGGAGGGTCACAATGGGCGGTGAGGAGGTATGAATGCATGTCTATGGCATGTTGGAGTCGCTCGGTTGAGCTGTGAACCCTCTTTAGCAGGGAGGTTTTGAGGCCTCGTTTCATGTTGCAAATGTCTTTGCCCAAGCTCCTCACTAGCTCTGCTGCCTGGTTTGTTGCATCTTGGATCTCTGATTGGAATGTGATTCGGAGGTTGTAAGGTGCCTGAAAACCAAGGAAGAGGAGCTTAATCAATTCATTGATGCCATCCTGAATTTGGAAATTCTCTTCATGTTAGTTGTTATGCTCATGATAATACTTTCTAATGACTTGTTCATATTGACCGAGACAAAAATAATCTTCTTTGCTCTTCTTGCTGAAATATCAGCTTAAGATTAAACTATCTTATGCACTTTTATGATCTGGCTTGGTAGAAGGCATCAACAAATAGTGATGCGGGTTTTACTGATCTGCCAAACACAAAGGTGGTTCAGAGCTTCTCAAGCAATGATGACGAAATCTGATATATGGCTTATTTCGTGTTCTCATTTTATCAGATTAGTCGAGGGAAGTTCTGGTAAGGTATCAGGGGAGGCCAAGGTACCTTGCAAAGACTTTTTGTAGACTTTGTGTTGTATAGACACTTTTTAGTCGAGGGAACTGCTCTATCTTAAATTTTAATTTAAGGCAACAGCTTCTCTTTGTAGACACCAGTTATCTACTAGAACTACCTTGAGCTCCCTCAAAGTCAGAAAACTTAACGACTCATTCGCCTATACACTTTGCAGACTATTCAAACAGTCCCCTCTTTCCCATTTGTATCTGATAACCGGGCTAGTCCATGACCCATCAAAATCCTTCATTCTCTCCGACGTTTTTCTTTTATGTGGCAGCAAAAATATTAAGCTGCCAAACAATGATTTCTTGTTTTCTCTTGAGCAATTTGATAAGGACCAGGTCATAGGAATATGCCTATAATTGTGGCAACATTGCCACTTATATGAGATACGAGAACAAAGAATAAACAAAACGGGATGCCTTCATTATTTTAGACTCAGTGAGCCAGTATTCATATGTGACGAACCTGAATGCATGCCAACTTGAGAACAAACGCATGGTATAATTCCTAACTATCTTGATTTGTGGACCTTACTGATCTCTTTTCACCTTTTTAGAATTCCTTTTTTACAATAAATCTAGACCATTGATTTTATTTTTTGTTTTCGCAATCTTAGGTATATTCCTGGGCTGCAAGCAGTCCTGTGGAAATGGTTCTGATTCTGGTAAAATGGAATGCGAATATTCCTGTATTTACTATGGAAAAGTGGCAATACACTTGTAAGCGCGGAAAAGCGAAGTGGGGGAATACCTGAATCTGAGAGCGAAGAACTCCATGGAGTGCCATAACCTCATAAGCACAGTATCGAAGAACTGCTCCAACTTTAACATACTCTGACCATGGATAGAAGAAGTGTCGGAACCTGCCATGTGGGGGCTCCCATTTTGCTGCATTAGCCTAATGATCCAAAAACTGGTCAGAATCAGAATTAGGATTATTTAAAGCACTCAAAGGGTGATAAAGACAGAAAACTTGTCGAGGAAAAAAAGAATATATGCAAGGAACATGGATAAATTACCAAGGACTCCAATTTGACAGAAGAGTTCAAAGTGGTTCGGCATTTTCTGTAGGCAGGTTCTTCTGGGAACTCATCCATGACTGTCTTTGAGAATTCCGGATGATCTAACCCGTCATCTTCGAAATATTTCGTCACACATTCTGAAATTTCCATTATGATTGAGTTCTTTGATGTCAGTTCCAATTAATAGCACTTTTTACTTTCATCAAGCTATGACCAAGTCAAGTCTTTCCATACGTGAGCTTGAGTATGTTAATTAAAGGGATATGAGAGAGTTTTCAAAGTTGCTAATTACCTTCAAGTGCGTCAGCCAGTGAGTTAAAGCTGTTGACTAGCTCTTTGTGCAATTGTTCCCCAGCCCATATTGGAAAAACAAGAACGTTCACGAAGACTGCAACAAAACCTCCAATGGCAATAGAGTATAGCCTATCCATGGCAGTTCTAATTGGATTCCCCATTCGATATCCAGAGATTATTATCAGGCAATAGGTGAAGAGTATGACCCGGAAACCATATTCATAAGGAACAAATGATGGCCATAGTTTCATGAATGATGTAATAGCCCCTATGCATAATGTTCAACAAATATGCCTATAATTAGAATATGGATTTCCACTTTTAGTTTTTTTTTCCTCTTTTTTCTTCATTTTAAGAGTACATTGATGAAAATAAAAACTATTTCATATAATTTCGAATGCATATATAGAAGATATACCGATGAAGAAGATGCTAATTCCGATTATTATAGGCTCAGCAACCGGACCACTACGTAGAGCTAACTGAGCAACTGCAATGGCTAAGATTCCCGCTAGCAAGCTTCCAAGTGCTCGGTTGAATCCTCGATTAAAAGTTGCCCCTTGCGAAAATTCACAACAGTTAGATATATAGGAATGATACATATGTTTCTGTGCTGAAATATGTATGATAGTTGTGTTTACTAGTGAAGATGTGAGCATACATGTAGCTGATTAGGCTTTTCACGGTGTTGGTTTATGCACAATGTTATGGCCTATGAACATGAAATCATGATTGTGTTGCATGACGATGTGCACATACATACCAACTGTGTATTCAAACATGATGGCAACAGTGAGGATGGACCAAATGATATCGGTTCCAAAAATTTCATAAGGTCCTCGAAGTAGTATAAGCAAAGAAACTAGTAGAACAGCCAGTCCCACTTTGAATGAGAATGTTACTCTGTTACTATCTTCTCTGCAAAATTCCCAAAAATTCCATATCCAAGCTTTGCAGGAAAAGCCCTGGAAGCCAGAATTCTTGCCAACTTCTGGCTGTTTGACTTTAGGAGCTGGTGGAATGTTGATCTCAACACTGCCCTTTTTGCCATTCATTCTCCAAAGAAGTAATATAAGTTCTTCCAACCTGTCAGCCTACTTTGCTTCAAGTTCTCCTTGATGGTTGAGCTTGTTTAATTTGAATTCTCTGATTAGATTTTCGAAGAAAATTAGGAATTACAGGCAGATGATATTGGCACAGCCAGAGCCAGAGGAGGTGGGGAGTTGAGTTTGGAGGTGGGAAATGTGTATATGGATGGAAGATTATAAAGGGAGTGCAAGCTGAGTTAATTTAGGTGCAACTGGGAAATGAAAGTATGTCTAGTCAGGATATGAAATGCAGAAAAAAGAATTATACGGTAATAATAGAAGAGTAGATGGAGCTAAAAACTCAGGATAAAGATGCTTAATCTCAACAATGTTGCATGGATGGAGAGTTGGAATCTAAAATAATGCATGGCACTGCATTTTTCAATAGCCACGTTTTCTCCTATAAATTTCTTTTCTTTTTCGAGATTTTGAAGTTAAAGTAATAAAAAAAAAAAATTCCCTGCACCATAAATACTCTTGTATGATAAACTTTTGATCTTCGCTTATTTTATCTGATACAACAATTTTCTTTTGGAATTTGCATGTTTTATTCTATATCACTAAATATAATCAAGATCAAGTACTGCAGACCTTACATTTCATAGCTGCTTGATTTACATTCATCTATCATAATCTACCATGGGAACATCATTGTCATCAGCTGGTTGTCACTTGTCGTCAATATTTGGAGTTGGGTACTTTTTTTGTCTTTTTTTGTATAAAAGAGGTCGTGGATTAGGGATAGAAGAAATTACAAATTGAGACCTGCTAAATGTGATTACATGAAACTAAATGTCGCCTCTTAAGTTGAAACTTGTTAAATGTCGCTTCTCAAAAATGATTGCGTGACACAATTAAACTAAGCCTCGGTTCATGGGGTGGGTAATTTAAACCTGAAGCTGTGACTACTCACAATTGAGAGGCTCCATTTGAGAAGTATACCTTGAGTAAGACTGCTTAAAGTAATCACTTCGTATTAGAATTTTCTCCAATCCTTCATCATCTGCAACATTCATTGGTGCTATCCTGTTCTTGATGATTTAAGCATATAACTATATATTCTTTCGTTTTCTATAAATTAATATGAATTATGAGGTATCTGATTATGTAATATATGCTTTTATATCTCATTTATTCCTTAAATTTAATTTAGGTGCTTATGCTATGTATTATTCCTTCACAGTTGCCTTCCTTTTGTTCTATCTCCCTAGTTGGATTGGTTGTATTGCAGTTAACGATTTCTTTGGAAAGGAATAAATGCTGAAATTTTTCTTGTAGTCGATGCTGATTCATTGATTATCATTTTACATTGACAATGCATTTCGCTGAGCATAAATGAACCATGGATGTACAATAAACTCTGTGGTTACATGCACAAACATATATAATACTGCTATTTAATAACTGCTAAGATTATTCTCCAGAAACAAATTGACTAATTGAGAAAGGTTTATATGTATATATACAAATTGAGGAAGGTATTAACTGTACTGAAAATGTGAAATTTAGTTGAGGAATATATGCCAGGAATAAAGCAATCAGTGTTTCTTTCCTATCACATGAGAAAATCAATAAATTGAAAGATAGCACAGGTGACAAAACTTTTGACCAAGACACATGGAAGTTAGCCAACAAAACATTAAACCTCGCACTTACGAGGTAAATTTAAAATCCATAGGGTTATAAGATTTTTTTTTTTCTGTTTAGCTTAGGTGCATCAAAATAGCAGACATTCTGGTCAGGTGTGTATTCCTCCAGGCAACCCTTCCCTACATTGAAAATTTATGACCAAAGAGAAAATTGAACGAAGATATTGCAGGATGACACTTTCGAAGATGAAATTAAATTCTGATTCTACCGCCAGGCTCCATGGGAGCCACCTCCATGTAATGGGAACCTGCAAATTATTATATGCTATAAAGATTTTGCTCAGCTTAAGCATGCGTGAGAAAAGTCAACCTCACAACCACAATATGAAAAAAGATAATCAAATTGAATGATCAGGTCACTTGATTATGTCTGGTCATGATCCGGTTTGCAGCGGTTTGCTGTTGCAATTTTGCTGAAGGGCCACTAAACTTGAATTTTCTTACTCAAAAAACTCTTATAAGGTACCAAGTGCCCTGAATAAGATGTTAAATCTTCACAAATCTTCCAGGTGGCTGCTCGTGTATGTTTTGTCGTTTCAAGCCCAAACCTATACGAAATTTTTTTTTTTTAATTTAGTCTTCTTTTGTTCAGGGAGAACTTCCATGTTAGGCCAAGAGGCTAAAATGCTTCTTTTGATTATTCTAAGATGCTATCTATTGAATATAATCTAATCATGATTATATCTTTCTTTTATATTTTCTATTCTGAGGCAGATTTGAGATTCCATATTTTTTTTAGGCCGATTTGTGGATATATATTTTCAAAGATAACAGATGTGAGATTTCCCTTCCACAATTGGCTACAGAAATCATGCTGCTTGCCACTGGAATTTGTTCCCATAATTTTTCTTGATACATCTTAACATAGCACTTTTTCACATGACGAAGCAAAGTTGATTGTCTGATTCCATATCTCATTAGCTCCGAGCACGAAAATAACATAAAATCTAACAACGAAAATAAGACCTGATCTTTCTCCTCCACATTTGGATGCCGGTTTGTCTGCATTTGCAAGCAGTCATTATTCGGCATTGCTTTTGCAAGAGAGATGAAGAAAAAAAACTCATTAAAATTTGTTTAATTTTGTGGGATTTAATTCTTGATTGCCTTGGCATGATCTTTCAATGATCAACAACTAATGCACCAGGAAACAAATTTGGTAGAAATTTGCTGATATTATTGCATATATGTTGCATATATGACTTGATAGTTGATATGAAACCCAGATTTGTGTTTTTTTCTTCATTGTCCTAAGAGGTGAGGGGGAAAAAACTACAATCTCTTTCAGAATACACAGCAATTCATATGTCATACCCAACATATTGGAGAATTGGATGCCTAAGGTCTTGAAAGCTGGATCCCAACTATTTTATGCTTCCAAATCTGCAGGGACTTGAGCAGAAGCAAATGGACCAACTCTGCTTGGAGTAGTGCTCCCCCACAACCTCGTTGAATCGGTGTATGAATATATATTCAGATTTCAGGGTGGCATTTCTCCCCCTCATCAGTCAGTTATCAGTTAAAAGCTGATCGATTCCGTTCGTAATCAGACATAGACTCACCCTCACTGCATTTATGTGAAACTTGGTGTCTGTCATGATAATCATATCATTATTTGTCCATGCAGTGAATGAAAATCAAAGAGCCAATGCTGTGACTATGACTATATGGCTATGAGTTTTCATGTGTCCAGTTTTGCTTTGCGATTTCGAGTTGTTAGCACTTTTTCATTCTCCGTAACACTTTAATTTCCCCAAGGCCTGGTAAGTAATCGGTTTGAACCAATTTGAGCTGTTTGGCCAATGAGTTGCTCTTTTCTACCGATTCTCGTGCTGCTCATAATCAAGTTTCAAGAATGGGTTTGATTTACAGTTGAAGAAATAGAGCACTTGACACTATTTAAATTCACTGCAAAAGAAATGTATTTGCAGAGAGTTTGAGCTTGAGCTATGATGTCCTATGCTCTTGCCTCACAACAACGCAAAAAAAAAAAAAAAAAAGGAACCCAACAATCAGATTATAGTCAATTTAGATTTAGACCTTGGAAGGGAAAAATAAGTCGCAGGGGTGAGAAAAAAGTATAAAAAAAATAAAAAATTGATTTAAAATGGTAGTATTTAATCTTGTTTGAATTAATTTTTTTATTCTATTCGGATTAAATTTAAATGTTAAATATCTATAACTATAAATAAAACCTATCTCCAATTTCATATTACCAACATACCTCAAGCAATGTCTTAAAAGAGAAATCCATGAGTAATTTTGAAATAAAACAAATCTACAAGGTTCTCTCATATCCTCTTAAACTCTTCTTATTTCTCTTCAATTCTTGTTTATGGGTTTTCTCAAACACTCTCTCAAACCACAAGGAGTTTTTGAAAACAAATTGATCTTTAAGGAATATGCCAAAATTTACGTTTTTTTTGGTAAGTCATTTGTTGACTTAATTTTGAGTTGATCTTTACGTTTTTTATTTGATTTTTTTCAAGCTTTTTTTTTATTACTTTTTTGATATAGATTTTTTATTAAGTCATAAACTTTTGGTTTTCATTGTTCTTTTTTGTTTTTTTGATAATTTTTTGAAATGAGTATTGATTATTGATTGATAAAGTTGAGGGTTTGATTGTTTAGATTAAAATTTTTTACTATTTTTTTAATTTGGGTTTTGATTTTTTGTTGAGTTTGAACTTTTTCATGAATACAATGAGCATTACTTGAAAAGATGGTTTGTCAAATCGTTATACTACTAAATTTATGTCTTTGTTTTACAATTATTAAAGCTTCTGATTTGAGAGAATATGAGAAGGAAAAGGAGTGGATGGTTCTGGATGGTAAAAAAAGTGTTCAAATCATATTTTAAGGCCTTGCATGCAAAAAAGGTAACTAATTTTTATTGATTTTTGGATTTTTCCTTTTTTATTCACTGATATGATTGCCATATTTCTAAGTAATTAATCTAAGACATTTATGTCAGCACCTTTCAAGAATTTTTTTTTACTAAAAATTTCATTTTAAGATAGCTTTTCAAAAAACCAAACATCTACATTCAAAACATTTTGATGGTAATGAAATTAAGCCTAAACATGTAAATCATTTAGTGATGATTAAAGATGTTGATGATGATGAATCATAATGACGATCAATCATTGAATATTTTTCTTTTTAATATATTTTTTGCTTTTTTATGCATGTATGGGTCTTTTATGGTGTTTAGAAGGATTTTGTCAGTTTTGAATTGCTTTTTTTTTTTGTACCATTTGCCAATATAACAACATCATTAGGGTTTTCACAACAAAGGAATAGAGTAATAGTAGGCATAGTAGTGATGGTTCTCATGTGCCAATCTTTTCTTTTTCTTTTTTGCAAAAATTTGTATTTTCATTGGTTATTTTTCTATTTTGTTTGAATTTTTTGACTATTTGTTCATATCCACATTGATTTTGTTTTATTAGTCCTTGAAATGAAATGGTACTGATTCGATTTTTATTTTTTTTATCAATAATTGCTTATTAGGATAAATGGGTTTTTCTTCATGCTTAGATTTTGTAGGTTTTTATTTAGTGATAAGCTTTATTAAGAGAACCCATTTCATTTTTTCTATGTTGTGTTTATATTTTGAGGGTTTTCTATTTTAGGATTGTTAGATATGTAGAATTTGTTTCAAATTGATTTTGGTTTGAAATAATTTTGACCAGAGATAGGTGAGAAAATATGATTTTGATTTGATCATATTTATACCTAATTATAAATTGTATATATTCATAAAAGATGAATTTTCTAATCATTACCTAAAAAAAATTTCTTTATAATGTATCAAAAGTATAGACAGAAAGAGACTATATAGGAGTGAATTATTACTTTTTGGTAGCATGTATGATTTAATATTTAGCTAGAAAATTAGAGATTATTACTATTTAGTTAATAATAACAACTCAAACAAGTGAGTCTCAATAGATAACGTTTTTTTAAGCAGTTTTTTTCTATGTAATTTTTTTCTTTGTTTCTTGATACAAATCTTTAAAAAAAAACTTAGTTCACTTTTTGTATCAAGTGTTAAAGAAAAGGTTTACTTTTTTTATTGTATTCTTTGTTTCTTATAAAGAAAGAA